GTGTGGCGACAAGCTGCGATGTGTCCGTCTCCCGTCTCTGTCGCGTGCAGCCAAATTGTACCTTAACGTTGTAAATACGCTAGTGTTCGAAAGGGCAATCCAATCCAACTCGTAACCTTCGTAACAGTTCGTGTTCAAGCAAGTTATGTTTCGTGTAAAGAAATAGCGTGATATGACGTAACTTACAGCACCGAGTTTGTGTAGCTAAAATATCTTCGCCAGGTCACATTAATGGAAAGGATTCATTTCCCAACATGGTGAGATTTCAGGTTCTCACCGTGAGCATGAACATGACTGTCTTCTGGGATTCTGTACCCTGATGATGGCGTCAGCAAGCACTTCTATCAGGCAACACGGCGCAACAACCCAGAGGACAACCACCTTCTACGTATACTTTCAAAAATCGATTCAATAATAAAGGATTATCCTTGAAAAATTACTAATCTAGTCAATAAAGTTCCTGTAGTCATCTAACCGGTTTAACCAGCTGATTTTCGTAATGGTGAGGTGTAGTGTTTTCTTCGCGGTACGGACTGAATTCATAAATAATATTCAGACGATCTTCGGCTTCAAAGGGTTAACCAGCTGATTTTCGTAATGGTGAGGTGTAGTGTTTTCTTCGCGGTACGGACTGAATTCATAAATAATATTCAGACGATCTCCGGCTTCAACTGGTTAATAAGCATCATATTCACGAAAGCGTATCCTAGACACAGACTGGTAAGCCAAACCGTCATATTTAAGAGTCACTTGAACCACCCGGAACACCGTTACTCAGGAGTAGGCCGAACCGCTATCCAACGTGGAGGGCAACGTAGCCATCATCTGCTTTCCCAGCTTACACGAGACACAGAAAGTGGCTCAGACCAATTTCAAATGCAAATTACGAATAATCATCGACGAAAGACACAGCGGGGGAAAAAATTATCTTAGTACCAAACATTTTTATAAATTTAACCTGGATTATCTTTACGTCGATAATCCCTTTGACAAACAAAAATACATATGACTTCCGGGATACAATGCTTCAGTGACGCCCTCATATTCTCCAGAAACAAGACTATAATCAATTTTACCATATGCTCCTTAAATGGAACCAGTATAATAGATTCACTTTCATGCAACCTGGTATAAACACATTTCCACTGGTAACCAACCCACAGCTGAGCTATTTAACCGTTCAAAACTGAATGGTAATTGCATATACCAGCCACTTTAAGAATAACAAATTCTGTAATTTTTTTTATTTCTGGGTTCCAAATTATTCCCTGTGTAAACGAGAAATGTTTCCTTAAACAACATTGCACAGGCGATCTTCGTAATGCAGAGGTGTTTTCTTTGCGGTACGGACCAAATTATCAACAATTATTTAGCCCTTTAAAGCTCAATGGGAACTACCCACCTTCTCCAAAATTAAAAGCAATTTTTTATTTATGGTTTCATATTAATCTAATTGTAAACATAATTTATTTCCGAAACAATGTTAACCAGTTGATTTTTGTAACGGTAAAACGTAGTGTTTTATTTGCGGTACGGACTGTATTATTAAACAATTTACATGAGCTTCGGTTTAATTCTTCTAAGTCACATTTGGTCCGTTTGTAGGCGTACAAACAGGGGCGGAATCGACACTAATGTTACTTATGGGGTTATGGGATGTTGTGTGGTTAACATATCTTCCAAATATATATATGCCTTTTGGAAAAGATAACCATTAAAACCACCTATTAAGTCCATCCTATAAATAAAACAGCACTAGCTACTTCACTGATTTCACTAAAATTTGGCACTTAAGGCCTAAATTAACTTTTATGAAGGTTTGTATTTTTTCACTCTACTGAATGACCTTTTATAAAACTCGATATGTTATATGAGGCTTTTACAAGTTTCAATACGTACAAGATTAATTTATTTCAATATATTCTAAGGATCACACACGAAACTGACTAGTGCGTATTTTTTTTAATCCTTTGATAGCAATAAAACCTGATAAATAAATTTGAAATTCGACCCTTCCATTACACGAGAATTAAACCTATCAAATTTCGTTGATTTTAATTCATCTGAAGGACCTACATGAACCTTTACAAGCACTTTGACAGATTTTAATGAAACTCGACATACGAGACGCCTAACACACTCATACGAGTACTGCCATGTAACGAGTTAATTCACTTCAGTACTGAGAGACAGCGGGTAGACATCACGCCTAACTTAAAGTAATCTTTTCAATGCCATGACAAGGGTACACATGTTATTTCCTATGGTATTTTGTAGACTGCATAAGAGCGGCCAAGCTACGCCTTGCGATAACGGAATAACTAAGCAGCTAAGGAAAACGTGAAACGTGGCATGGCACGCCAAAAATTACAAGCGTTAAGAAACTAAACTTTGAAGTTACACACATTATAACACGACAAACGATAAAACACTTCACTCCATGCGACACGCTATAAAATTGTTTATACCTAGAAGTAAACTTCCACGCATTAATGCCAACAACAGATGGAAAATAAACAGTCGTCTTCATGCACCAACTATTTCATCATTCCCGGAACACAAACACATTGTTACAGAAAAATAACATCTCCATTCGGCAACGAAGTTACGACCTTCATACTTCCATTTCCTGAGCACCGAGACCTTCAGTTTTCAGTTTTATGGAGAGGCCTACATCTCGATCTTGTACTGAACCTTAATCGATTACAGGTGTACCAACCCGACAAGCAAAACAAACCAAATCTAAAGGAGTTTCGAGCAAACAACATAAATAAGATTTTAAATCCTATCAAGGTCAGAAGACCTCCAATCTGTAAACCATAGCAGTAGTTACCAATCTATAGTTTTCATATCACGTTGAGATTTGCCTGAGTATGTACTGACGGGCGGAATTCTTTCATTCGCGTATACGCTGATGCAATGTCAATACCGTATGTCTCGTCCTTGTTGCGAAGGCACGCGATGTGACGGGTATCATAGAACAGCATATGCGAGACACGGACAACTCAACCGCGGTGAATTTGGGAGCCGATCGTGCGGGGCCAGAAACTCGTAAAAATATAACTTGTTTAAACTTATTAAAATACCTCAGACTTGTCGGTCGGACCTTCGTGAAATCGATATGAAATGCCCAAAGAAAATATGCATAGGACGCCGTTACACACACAAGACTTGCAAATCAGCCTACTCAGAGCAAAATAGTCGATATCCTTCATGCTAAACTATGAATGCGTCATTCGTCGCTGGTTTGCCATCTCACTGGCCACTACACTTCATATTTATTTACCGCAGATATAAATCTGGCCACCGCACTTATATTCAGCTATAAACGGAATTCTCTTACACTGCCCCCTTCAGAAAACCATTTCAAATAAAACTTTCCGTTGTTAACGAGACCTCTTTAACACTTTTGTAAAGTCAAATCTAAAACTTCATGACGATGGTGAAGAGTCAATTGAATAAAAATTTTCTTGGATATTATCCATCGTCTAGTAAATATAAAACGTAAAAAACGACGTTTCGGAGATGGGACTCTTGAAGACGGAGATAGAGTCCCATCTCCGAAACGTCGTTTTTTACGTTTTATATTTACTAGACGATGGATAATATCCAAGAAAATTTTTATTCAATTGACTCTTTTGTAAAGTATTTATGAGGAAAATGCAGTTCCAATTCACTGTAAAAATGGCGTTACAATGGACCTGTAAAAGTACCGGAGGCTGGATGCTGGAGGTGAGCTGTAGTTCCATGCTTAAGTAACCTCGGCACGAGAAAGCGACTCGTCAGATTCACGCCCCGGCAGCTTTATCCCCGGTGAAAGAGACCCTGGTTCCCCACTTGATAGGAAACTAGGAACGTCCTGTCTGGACACTGTGGTAACGAGAAAAATATTGGCCCTTTCCGGGAAATGAACCCTGGCAACCCAGCCTACACGCAACACTTAACTATTCCGGCTCACAAACAGACACATTACATTCTCACGACATACTTTAACGTCTTCAGGTTATAAATTATATAAACTTAAATATAATTTCTTAAATGCAACTTTTAGTCAGATGTTATGATGATATTTAAGTTTATATAATTTATACAC